TGGTCCATTAATGATGGATTGAAGATCATTTCTTGCATGCATATTGGTATTGTTGCATTTTGAGGTTGATTACATGGACATTGGTACATGCATGCTCATATTGTTGTTATAGACCATGTTTTCATCTTGTTTTGGAAAGAAATGAGCTCATTTGAGCAAGCTTTGGAGCTTCAATTTGGGTTAAAACTCATTCATGCATGTTTGAATGTTGTTCTTGAAAATGGGTTTGAATATGGTTTTAATTGACTCACCGTTGGGGCTTGAATTCATGAATTGAGCTTTGAATCTTGTTATACATTGAATTTAGTGGTGTTTTCCAGAATTTGAGCCCAAGAGGTCGAGTTTGGAGTGGTTGAATGCTTGGTTTGAGCTTGGGAGGCAAATCTGGAAATTCCAGATTTGGCTTCCTCGCTCGAGCGAAGGATTCCCCGCTCGAACGAGCACCTTTGTCCAGGGCTCCGCTCGAGCGACCATCGAGCGACGATCGCGCGTAAAATTTCAGCATCCAGTACTTTTACTGTTTTGCAGACCGCTCGAGCGAAGGATTCCTCGCTCGAGCGACGCCTTTGATTTTGGACTTACGCTCGAGCGTAGAAAGTCTCGCTCGAGCGAAGCCCCTATTTTCAGCAAAGTTTGCAAAATGTTTTCTAAGTGTATTTTTGCATCCTCATTCCATCCTAGGCATTCTTAGGCCTAGTTTAAGGCATCTTGATGAGGATATCATTGTAGAACACACCAAGGCAATTAGGGATTAAGTTATGAGATTTCCCAACTGTGTAGCTTAGTGTGTTCAACCTGTGAACTGTGTAGGGTTGGCAACTGGGGAGACACGCTCTAGCATACTGTAGCCCAGAACTCTGTGAGTAACGATTGTGTAAAGATATGTTCACAAATGATTATTTTCTGAACAACTGAACTGTACTGTTTTCTGAACTGATTACTGTTAACTGAATGAATGTATGTCCTTTATTTCTGAACTGTACTGTGGCATCCTTAGCACCTACTGTTTACTGTTACTGTTACTGTTACAGAGATCTCTGTCGGTTCCCTCGTGGAACCACTACTGTTTACTGTTACTGTTACTGTTACAAGAATCTCTGTCGGTTCCCTTGTGGAACCACTACTATTTACTTGACTGATGGCCAATACACCGATGAAAGGCCAGACTCGTTTTGGAGTCAAAGGCAAGTTAGCGCCGAGATATGTCGGACCGTATGAGATTATTGAGAAAATTAATCTGGTGGCGTATCAAGTTGCGCTTCCTCCTGAAATGGAGCACATGCATAACGTCTTCCACATCTCTATGTTGAGAGACTACCTTCCTGAAAATGCTTTTAAAATGGGCTTTTTTGCATTCTCATCCCATCCTAGGCATTCTTAGGCCTAGTTTAAGACATCTTGATGAGGATATCGTTGTGGAACACACCAAGGCAAATTAGGGATTAAGTTATGCTATTTCCCAGCTGTGTAGCTTAGTGTGTGTTCAATCTGTTAACTGTGTAGGGTTGGCAACTGGGGAGACACGCTCTAGCATACTGTAGCCCAGAACTCTGTGAGTAACAATTGTGTAAAGATATGTTCAACTGATTATCTTTTGAATACTGAACTGAACTGTTTACTGAACTGGTATTATTTACTGAATGAATGTATGTCCTTTATTTCTGAACTGTACTGTGGCATCCTTAGTATCTACGGTTTACTGTTACTGTTACTGTCACAGAGATCTCTGTCGGTTTCCTTGTGGAACCACTACTGTTTACTGACTGATGGCCATCATTACTGTTCGGTCTTTTAAGACCTACTGTTACTGTTATGCTAATGGATGTACCACATATGACTGTTTACTGTACTGAGCAACTGAATTACTGATTGAAATGAACTGTTTTCATACTGTAAGGACATTCATTCTTAACCTCTTTACATATTGTGTTATTCACTGGGCTTTAGCTCACTGCTTATATATATATGTAGGTGTACAGGCACCAGACCGCAGCTAGAGGCGTCAGGGTTACTCCAG